GACTCTGAGTCAAGCACTTCATGCATGCGGTAATACACTGTAAGCGGAAGCAGAATATTTGCGATACATTATAGCAATCAAACATTGTATTTCACATCAAAGCACACGAAAAATGCACACAACATAATAAATCGTAATACAGTATAAAACAATCAAGTTTTCAAAATAAAACTTTATACTAATTTCAAGTGAATAAAACAATAATCTTAAGATTGATGTCTTGTAATACTTTAATCAGTTGTCGGTTTAGTTATTGTTATAATTGTTAAGAACAATAGCCGAGAGAAAGGAAGGAATGCAATGAAGTGAAAGAGAGGGTCCGATACCCGACTACTGTTCAGTTCCAAAGCCATGTTTCGGGAAAATGTTTTCTAACTTTTAATCTATTATTTATTTCATTGGATTGTATTAGAGGTATGTTTTTCCCATTGATATATCGGTTGTTCTGAAAGAGTTGTCTGAAAATAGGTCTACACTCATGCCTTCGTCCACACTCATCTCCATAAGTGCTAAATACAATCATATCATATGAATTTCATACTATGTTTCTTTTGAAATCGTTTGAAAACTAAATAATTTATACTTATAGTAAAATTTTAATATAACCAAATTTAAGTAATCTATTTATGTGATTCGGTCAAACCATTTAGTACTTTAATTTAGTCTATTTTGAAATACTATATCAAATACCCCACAACTGTTGTATTCCATAACCAAGTTTCGGGAAAATGTTTTCTTATTTTTATATAATTATCGGAATTTGTGTCTCTCTTGTTATCATCATATTTGATAGTACGAGTGGTGGGCACTAGTAATTGCTCGGCCATGGGTCGCGATATTGCACTCATACGTCCCCTATTCATATTTGGTTGCATTCCTCGTATTGCATACTCTAACAGACAAAACATTCATCTCAATAAACAATCCTTACACCTATTTATCCGCTTAATGAAGACATTACTACTTATATGAAAACATTTTTAGACTACAAAACTACTTCCATAAAAAATATTCTGAAATCACAATATAAATGATAGAATTGATTATTTAGTGCTAATTTGAACAAAAATAAATTGGTTTTAATTGTTTTTATATCTAATAAGCATTACAAGCATTACACACATCAACACAGTTTGCGTATAAAAGAAAATAATTGTTGTTTTTTTTTAATTCGGTCAACCATTTAGTGCTTTGCTTTTGTGAATCATAGAGAAGAATATGTAAGAAAGTGAGTGAATGGAAGTGAGAGGGAGGGAGAGAGCTATTACCCAACGACTGTTGTACTCCATAACCAGGTTTCGGGGAAATGTTTTCTAATCTTTATATTATTAGCAGATTTAATGGGAATTTCGATATGACTGCTTTCAGTAAAAACACTATCACTAGTAAATGTGGCTCCGGATATCAGATATTGTCCAGAATTAATGAATCTGTGAACTGAATGAACCGAAATAAAATCATTTCAATAATGTAAGTTTAAATTATCGTTTACTCCTAGAAATGCATTCACTACTCGTCTCGCAATTCATTTGAGGAAATTAATTATATTTTGATTAAGAATTATATGTAATATTCTTGTGTATAAAACAAATAAAACCAACGAAAGTGTCAAAAATGGGAAATAGTTTTAGACAATAAAAATGTGATAAAACATATTATAAAGAGAACAAAAGAATAGTGACAATCAAACTGTTGTTTTCGCCAATTCTATGGATATTATATAAAATACAATAAAATGTCTTAAGACTATTAAAGACAGACAATTGTAAATTAAATGTCAAAAAACCTTTACTAAATATCATCACAGATTGAATTTATTTAAAAAATACTGCCAAATATTTTGACACTTTTTCCTAAATTCATTCATAACATTATATTATAATCAATTATATAACAATTGATTTGAAACTAAAAATAAAGCAATTATAGAGTTATAGGAATAGTATAGAAAATAACTGTTTTTATAAATAATCTACATTAAATAAAAAGAAAATAAATAACAATGTTATTAGAATGTGATGAAAATGACAGAAAGTCACGCAAATTTTTACTGTTATATGACTTACTCTAATAAATATAAAATAACTGATAAAAACGAATAGTTTTGATGAAACATCAAAATTTAGTGGATAATGAGTTTTGGAAGTTTTTAAATCATTTCCGAATTGAACAATAGATTGAAAATAGAGTTAAATTATTATGAATGTAAAGCATGTGGTTAGTATCCCAGATAGTATTATACAATGGTTAATTTATCACTTAAATTTATGTTAGTGTTAATAATGTTTGACTACTTTGTATGAAGAACATGCGGTTTATAAAAAAAAGATTATATAATAGGAATGCGTGTATGTGTGTTGTGCACCCGTACCCCACGTTAATGTTACGCCAAAGCCATGTCTCGGGAAAATATTGTCTGATTGAAGTTTCCGACGACAAACTGGTGCCCGAATCTAAGACATCACTACTTTGTTTGTGTGCTTTTGCTCTGAACACAACTCTACTCCTCAACATTTCTATTCAATCAATATATAGGCATTCAATGAGTTCTTAGAACTCATTGAATGCCTATATATTGATTGAATAGAAATGTTGAGGAGTAGAGTTGTGTTCAGAGCAAAAGCACACAAACAAAGTAGTGATGTCTTAGATTCGGGCACCAGTTTGTCGTCGGAAACTACAATCAGACAATATTTTCCCGAGACATGGCTTTGGCATAACATTAACGTGGGGTACGGGTGCACAACACACATACACTTATTCATATTATATCATCATTTTTTATAAACCGCATGTTCTTCATACAAAGTAGTCAAACATTATTAACACTAACATAAATTTAAGTATTAAATTAACCAAGTATAATACTATCTGGGATACTAACCACATGCTTTACATTCATAATAATTTAACTCTATTTTCAATTAATTGTTTAATTCGGAAATGATTTCAATAATAATTTAAAAACTTCCAAAACTTATTATTTACTGAATTTTGATGTTTCATAAAAACTATTCACATTTATTACGGTAGTTATTTAATATTTATTAGAGTAAGTCATATAACAGTAAAAGTTTGCGTGACTTTCTGTCATTTTCATCACTTTTTAATAACATTGTTATATATTTTCCTTTTATTTACTGTAAATTATTTATAAAAACAGTTATTTTCTATACTATTCCTATAATTCTATAATTGCCTTTAACGTTATTTTTAGTTTCAAATCAATTGTTATATAATTGATTATAATATGATGTCATGAAATTTAGGAAAAGTTTGAAAATATGTGGCAGTATTTCTTTTATAAAATTCAATCCAAAAACCTGTGATGATATTTAGTAAAAGTTTTTTGACATTTAATTTACAATAGTCTTAAGACATTTTATTGTATTTTATATAATATCCATAGAATTGGCGAAAACAACAATTTGATTGTCACTATTCTTTTGTTCTCTTTATAATATGTTTTATCACATTTTTATTGTCTAAAACTATTTCCCATTTTTGACACTTTCGTTGGTTTTATTTGTTTCATACACAAGAATATTACATATAATTCTTAATCAAAATATAATTAATTTCCTCAAATGAATTGCGAGACGAGTAGTGAATGCATTTCTAGGAGTAAACTATAATTTAAACTTACATTATTGAAATGATTTTATTTCGGTTCATTCAGTTCACAGATTCATTAATTCTGGACAATATCTGATATCCGGAGCCACATTTACTAGTGATAGTGGTTTTACTGAAAGCAGTCATATCGAAATTCCCATTAAATCTGCTAATAATATAAAAATTAGAAAACATTTTCCCGAAACCTGGTTATGGAGTACAACAATCGTTGGGTAATAGCACTCTCCCTCCCTCTCACTCTCATTCACTCACTTTCTTACATATTCTTCTCTATGATTCACAAAAGCAAAGCACTAAATGGTTGACCGAATTAAAAAAATAACAATACAAACTGTGTTGATGTGTGTAATGCTTGTAATGCTTATTAGATATAAAAACAATTAAAACCAATTTATTTTTGCTCAAATTATCACTAAATAATCAATTCAATCATTTATATTGGAATTTCGGAATATTTTTTCTAGGAGTAGTTTTGTAGTCTAAAATGTTTTCATATCAGTAGTAAAGTCTTAGCGGATAAATATGTGTACGGATTGTTTATTGAGATGAATATTTTTTTGTCAGAGTATAGAGGAGGAGGAGGAATGAAACCAATTATGTATAGTGCAATATCGCGACCCATGGCCGAGCAATTACTAGTGCCCACCACTCGTACTATTAAATATGATGATAACAAGAGAGACACTAATTCCGATAATTATATAAAAATAAGAAAACATTTTCCCGAAACTTGGTTATGGAATACAACAGTTGTGGGGTATTTGATATAGTATTTCCAAATAGACTAAATTAAAGTACTAAATGGTTTGACCGAATCACATAAATAGATTACTTAAATTTTACTATAAGTATAAATTATTTAGTTTGATATAGTATGATATGATTGTATTTAGCACTTATGAAGACAGACGAAAGCATAAGTGCAACTATTTTCAGAAAATTCTTTTAGAACAACGGATATATCAATGGAAGAAAACATACCTCTAATACAATCCAATGACATAAATAATAGATTAAAAGTTAGAAAACATTTTCCCGAAACATGGCTTTGGAACTGAACAGTAGTCGGGTATCGGCCCTCTCTTTCATTTCATTGCATCCCTTCCCTTCTCTCGGCTATTGTTCTTAACAATTATAACAATAACTAAACCGACAACTGATTAAAGTATCACAAGACATCAATCTTAAGATTATTGTTTTATTTACTTGAAATTAGTATAAAGTTTTATTTTGCAAAACTTGATTGTTTTATATTACGATTTATTATGTTGTGTGCATTTTCTGTGTGCTTTGATGTGAAATACTATGTTTGAGTGCTATAATGTATCGCAAATATTCTGCTTCCGCTTACAGTGTATTACCGCATGCATGAAGTGCTTGACTCAGAGTCGGAGCCCCGAGTACTGGATGAGGCGGTCGGCTCACAGGCCGCCAGTTTTGGCTCAAATGAATTGTCAACAAATAACAAACAAACTAATGATGTGAACAAACTTAGAAAGCATTTTGTCGAAACTTGGTTATGGAATACAACCATAACTGGGTATGCATTGCATCGCTATTTTCCTCTTCACACTATGTCTGTCTCTCTTAACCGCTTGTCTTAAACTTTGTTTAACTCGTTATAAAATCGCGTATTAATGCAAAGCAGTTGTCAATAATACTAATGAATAACATTAATTCATAATAATAATAACAAATCGTAATACAAATAATCAAATAATCCTATAACCCATTGACCGATAAAAAATAGTGAATTTTGTGGTCAAAAATACTCAAATGTTTTTTGAATGCATTGATTATTTAGGACACGGAAAGAGATTGTTTTACGGAGCAAATAGGCAGGGATTGATTGTATTGAATGCCCCCCGAGCTAACGGTATGTCCACTTAAACCCCATGTCTAGCATTTTTAAAATGCAACCAAAACCCAGACCACAGTCTGATCGCACCAGAAGTTTAGATTAAAGCCCATATAAACCATAGCCATGTAATTACAGTGCGAACCAATGATAACATACGGCTCGACGACTTCATACTCGAGGATAAGCTCCAACCGCCAGACTTTCATTTGACTCAAACACCCGATTCTCGTATTGTTCTCCGCAAAGAGTTTCCCGAGACTTGGCTCTGGACTAATCAAATGGCCGGGTATTCACTCTCAATGACCTGTCATTGAATTATAGTTATTGTTATTATTGTTAACTGCTTTGTAGAGGGGATATGCGGTTTTCGGTCAATCCATTCAATGCTTGAAATTCTTGAATTGTTTGTATTTTTATTAATTCTTGAAACCTTATTAGAAATGATGGAAGTGCTGTCATAACCAGCCCTATACCCGACACAATAACTTCTTGGTTTATTAGTGCGTTTGCTATGGATCAGGTCACCGGTCTTGGAATTGCACCCAACAGTGCTAAAGTATAACAACGATTAATAGTTAGATTTATATGTTTAATGATATTAATGTTATCGTATCCTTAGGTAACTGTTTTCCGTCCATTTTTCATCAAACTATCGCTCCCTTACTCTATAATAAGAGGTGAATCGATTGCTCTTCAGGCGATTGTTTTCAATTATTTCAATAAACCCATTGAAGCGGAGGTTGTGATGGATAATAGGAATAACGAGTTTGAGTTCACGAACGCCGCCAACGAAATAGAGTTCGCGGACACCAGAAAAGTGACCGAAAAGAAGAAGTTTGTGACAATTCCGGCCAACGATGGCGTTTCCGTCACATTTCTAATTACTCCCAAAAAGATAGGTTATATTGACATTAAGATAACGGCGACCGCACCGACAGCTGGAGACGCGGTGCTCAAGAAACTGTTGGTCAAACCTGAGGGTCAAACCCAATACTTTAATAAAGCGGTTCTCGTCGATCTCAAAGATCCCAACAGTTCTGCTGTCAAGAAAAATATCTCAATCGTTATCCCGAATAACGCGGTTCCGGGCTCTGAAAGAGTGACCATTTCAGGCATTGGAGATATTATGGGACCGACTGTTAATAATTTGGATGATTTGCTTCGTATGCCTTATGGATGTGGCGAACAGAATATGCTGTAAATAATTGATCTTTAAATTGAAATTAAATACTAATAATACTATTTATTTTAGAAATTTTGTGCCCAATATTGTTGTATTGGATTACTTGAGTCGAACCAATCGCTTGACTCCAGCCATCAAATCAAAGGCCATCTCAAACATTGAGAGCGGATATCAGAGGGAATTGACTTATAAGCGAGAAGACGGCTCTTTCAGTGCATTCGGCAATAACGACAAAAGTGGCAGCACTTGGTTAACTGCGTTTGTGGTCAAGTCGTTCATTCAGGCTAAACCACTGGTCGATATCGACCAAAAAGTTATCGACACATCCATTGATTGGCTAATTAAACGCCAGAAAGCGGACGGAAGTTTCAGCGAACCCGGAGAAGTGCACCACAAGGCTATGCAGGGCGGCTCCACTGGAGGCTTGACTGTACTCACGGCCTATGTTCTCATTGCTATACTTCAGGACAAAAACGCCAAAAGAGACCGAAGGGCTGAGATATCGAGAGCGGAAAGTTTCATATGGAATGGATTCGCTTCTTCGCGAAATCCATACGATTTATCGATTATCACATACGCCTTGCAGTTGACTGACAGTCCATTCCGTGACAACGCCTTCAATCGACTCATGGGTTTCGCCAAAAAGAGTCGCGACTATATGTGGTGGGAAGAGGACAGAGAAGAGTTGGCCAATCAGACCGACAAACAGTCGGCGCACTTCTTCTACCCTCACTCTAACGACATAGAGATGACTTCATACGCGTTGTTAACATTAGTGGCCAGAAGTGATTTGGAAAACGCGGTTCCAGTGCTTCGTTGGCTAATATCCAAACAGAACTCGAACGGAGGCTTTTCGTCCACTCAGGACACTGTGATCGGTATACAAGCGTTGGGAGGATTAGCGCAACGGATCTCCACCACAACCGTCTCATTGAATGTTAAATTCAATTACAAAGCGGATGACAAACGCGACTCCAAAGACATGAATATTGAAAGCAATAACGCGATTGTCTTACAGCGCATAGAACTCCCGCTTTCGACCAAATATGTTGAGGTGGAGGCGAGTGGGTTCGGCGCCGCCATCTTACAGGTCTCGTGGCAGTACAATCTGGCCGTCTCTGCTGAACAGCCGGCCTTCTTCTTGAATCCCATTATCGATAAGACTTCGACAGAGAATTATCTTCAGCTCAGTGTTTGCACACAGTTTAGTACAAGTTTTTTAATCTATGGTTTGAACGTATATTTTAATGTATTATTACCTAAATTATAGTTACAAAGAGGGAAATGCGACAAATATGGCAGTAATGGAAGTGGAACTGCCGTCGGGTTATGTGGCAGATGTGGAGGCATTGCCGAGCGTTACCCGCGCTAAAGAAATCAAACGTATTGACACCTCTAAAGGCGATACTAATGTCATCATATATTTCGATAGAGTTAGTCATTAATTGATGCGATTCTTTGCCATTTGACTCAATGGACATAAACTCTATTTTTATAGATAACAAGAGATGAGATCTGTCTGACAGTTCCGGCCCACAGAACCCACAGAGTGGCTAACAATAAAGCGGTTCCCGTCACTGTATATGACTATTACGATAGGCAACAAACATCTCGCATATTATATGAACCAAAACTCGTTACCGTTAGTAATTTGACCGCAGTTTTAATAAAACAATAAATTTTATGTTATTTTTGGTTGAATTTTTGGTTTGGCTCTCTATTACATTGAATTGAATCCATGTTTCACTTACTTTTTAATATTGAAATAATGGCTGATTTTAATTAAAAATTGATATAATTTTCCATATTGTTAAAAATATAAACACATTGCATGTGAGGGCTTGACTTTCATAGAATACATAGTTTACATACAATTCACCCACAAATATAAATTGAAATCAACTAATTGTTTGTGTTTTTTAATTAGTTCTGCGATTTATGTGAGACAACAGCCGATGAACCGGTCTGTCAGAAGTGCTCTCAGACGCGGGGCTCCGGAACTGATTACAACAACGAGTTAATTCAGACTTCGGATTCATCGGACGCCCGATTGAGAGCCGCGACAAAGTGGACACTTGTGATGGCAGCGATCGTATCCGTAAAGTTGTATCAATTCTGGTCATAAGTCCCTATCGAGTGCTTCAAAACCTCTATTTATATGAATTGAATCACTAAATAGTCTATTGTATAGTTCATTAACTCCTGTAATCACTGCACAAATAATATTATTGTCAATTAATTATTTTTCAA